GCTCGTCTTACCGGTTGATGTGTTCACTACTTGCTTTGCTCTGACACCACTGACTCTTGTGTAGAGGCTTAGCTTTCGACTGCCATTATGATATCGTTTCATACTATTGCGATAATGATTTCATCGGATAATAATTTTCGTTTCAGCTTTAGATGTGGCAGCATGACGCGTAGATCTAAAGTCAAACAACCACTCCGACAAGACAGCATTTTACTAGTACCTGACTTAAGGCGATGGTGCTTGATGTATTACTCCTAGACACGCAAAGCCAACTCTCAACAAACAGTGCCAATTCCTGCTAAGGCGCCATGAATCCCTAGCCAGCTCTCACATGACCTCCAGGCCAACAAACAAACCTAAACAAACACCTTAGAACTCCTCTCCATTCCTCAGCGCCCGCTCACAACCAATCCTACCACCTTTATCATCACCAACACACACCTCCCTCATAACGACACCCAGACACGGGCTTATCCAAATTCCCAGCCTCGCACAACCACGCCATCACGGAAAGATACTCCTCCATCAAGCCCACCGTCTCCTCCCCACCAAACGTCAGCGTGTTCATGATCACCTCCAGCTCCAGGATGTCATTCGGCATGAGGGTCGGCAGCCAGATAAGGCCGAGATCATAACCCCCACGGAAATCGACCATGCGGATTGGATCGGTCTCCTGCTCGGAGTATTGCTCCAGCCGCCAGTTGAAGACCTGTGTGAAGGCCGCCTGCTCGATGAAAGTGGCGTCGTCCGTGCCGGCAGCCGCGTCCAGCTCGCGCAGTCGGCTCAACACCCGGCTGAAGGGGGCATGGGTGTACAGGCTTTGGACGTCCTGGTCCTCCGCCAGGCGGGTCAACAGCGACCGGACGGTTTCAGTGGGTTGTACCGTGACGCGCTCGACGAAGAACCCGATCATGGGACCGTCGATCTCCAAGGGGTTGGGGTGGTGATGCTGGACCAGGGAGTCGTCGCTCTCTGCGCCAGGCCAGAAACGCCCCGACGCGGCGACGTTGAACACCGCTTCAGACACGCCGGTCCGGTGCGCGTTGAGTAACACGCATGCGGCTTTGCCGATCACGGGGACGGGGACGCTCGACGCGCGGCGCATCTCGGCGAGTCCGGGCAGGTGGATGTATTTCTTCGTCGAGCCGCTGATGAATGGGTCCTGGCCCTGGGCCCGGACCTCGTTCCAGGTCGACAGTCGGGGCCAGGGAATGTCTTGCGCAGCCGAGACACCTTTCAGGCGCTTGACGTGGAAGTCCACGGCATTCTCTGCGGCTTGGCTGTAGATGTACTTTTGGTAGTCGCTGATGAACCTGCCGTAATGGCGGAAATCCATGCGCGGAAGACCATTGTTGGCCAGAAGGTCCTTGAAGTCCTGCAGCCACCGGAAGATCGTCACTGCATCGTAGATGCCATGGTGACAGTGCATAACCACTCCCGCGCGTGAAGATGCTCGGTCTTTGAAGATGGTGGCCTTCAGGAACGGGCCGGGCAACGCGACACATCCCTCCCAAGGGCTGTCGGCTTTGTATCCGGTTAAGCAGGAAATGTGGTCTACCTCGTGGCTGTGGGCGATGTGCAGATTCATCCATCGTGAGGTAGGGCGCATGATCATCCATACCATTCGGTCCTGGTCGTATTGTGCGACCGTGCTGCGGAGAAGTGGATGTCGATGCAGCCACAGGTGAAGGATCGCCTCGAGATACTCAACGCTCAGACCTGGAGCGGCAATCCAGGAGGTGCGTATCTTGAACGCACTGGGACTCAGTGTATCTTTCAGAAACCAGGTCTGAGTGTCGGTGACGTGCATTGTCTCTTCAACATCGTCCCAGCCGAATCCGAGCGGACGAAGCGTCGACTCGCCGGCTTGCTGAACTCGTGCTGGGTCAAGGTAGGTATGCTGAGCGCCGACCGTGGAAGCATGAACGTTAACGACTGGTGTCTTCATGCTGGCTATGCTACGATCGGCGATGAGATGCGCTTGCTTCCGGATTGTGTCGTGCTCGATGAGATCTTTCCGGGTGACCCGCCCAAGCCGCTTTGTGGCAGTATGCAGGTATTGGATCATCATCATGCTGTCGGCGAAGGTGCGGATGGGAGCGTCGAGGTCGAGCTGCTCTGCCTTCATTCCGGTAATAGCCGCCCAGATGGCAGCAATTTGGGCCACATAGTCGCCGGATTCTGAAACAACTGAGGCTTGCTGCTCCAAATACTCAATTACCAGGGTCTTTAGATTGGGTTTCAAGACCTTGCCTGTCGTAGTGGTGGGATAGCGATCCTGCTTCAGATCATCCTCCAATTCGATGATCTTGGTGGGAGAAAACGAGCGCCCCAGCTCCTCTTGCACCTTGGCTTGCAGCGAGCTTGGGGACACATCGACGGACTTGTCTCGACGAATGACTGCCATTGGGACCTCACCCGCCACAGGATCAGGGATACCCACGACATAGGCTTCCTACAAACTAGTTCAGCATGAAGTTTCAGTTCAAGAGGCAGAATACGTACTCGAACGCCCGAAATCCTGGTCAAGCACTGCTCGATCTTGACAGGCGAGATGTTCTCACCACCGCGGATGATAAGATCCTTGTACCTGCCCAGCAGGTACACATTGCCATCCTGATCCATATACCCCTGATCACCGGTCGCAGACCAGTTCACGCCATCTTCCTGGTAACACGTACTGTTGTCCTCCGCACTTGCATCGAGATATCCCCCGAAGATCGGATAACCGCCCTGGTGCAACTCACCGAGCTGGCCTCGACGGATGGGAACCCGACTCTCCGGCGCACAGATTCGGACTCTGGTACCCGCTCGTGGAGGCCCTAGACATACCTCTCCCTGGATTCGCTTGTGAGATGCAGCCTCGTAGAAGTTCAATAGCGTGGCTACACCCTCTGTGGTTCCATATCCCGCGATAACTCGATCGGCACCAAGGGACAGACAGAGCTCGACGATACTGGGCGACAGCGACGCACCCCCGAGGACAATCTGGTATAGAGTTTCTAATGGGCCGCTCTCTGGCGTGAGCTGAGCAGCGATGGCCTGTACCATAGACGGAACGCAGGCTGTATGGACCTTAGCGCCGAGTCGAATGGCTTCCAAGGACGCAGCGGGATCGAAGGTCGGACTGGGGTAGACGACTGTTCCCCCGCTGAACCAGGTCCCGAGTGTCATCACGATCGCGAAAATGTGGAAGCTGGGCAAATGCCCGCAGAGGTGGTCGCTGGGCTCGATGTTCAGGGTGTTCACCACCATGAGGCCCGGTGTAGCAATGGAGAGCGTGGTATGCGGACATCCTTTGGGGAGGGATGTTGTTCCACTTGTGAAGAGGATGAGAATGGTGTCATCTGTGTCCGTTGGTGGCGGAGGAAGTATTGACTCGTTTGGTGCGTTGGCCATTAGCTTCGGCAATGTTGTCCAGCTTGTAGGAACGCTTTGCTCGTCTGTCGCCCGGGTGATACCCTTCAAGATAGGTTGGAAACCTCCCTCTTCTAGGGCCGCATCCAGAGGCTCGGTCATGGACGATGCCGAGACGAAGACTGCGGCAGGTTCCAACTTCCGCAACAGATGAAGGGCATCTGCGCGCTGCCCGAGCATCCGAGGATCCAATGGAGCGAATTGGCAGCCCAGACGAGCGGCAGCCCAGAAAAGAACGGCCCATTCAGCTTCATTGAGGAGGAAAGCTGCGATGCGACTGTTCTTGCCTATTCCCGCCTGCGCCAAGGAAGCCGCCAGGCGTATACTGCGGGCATGCAGCTCTGAGAATGTCCAACGCAGGGGCTGCGGTGATTCAGTGCCTGAAGGCCCCTGCTCCTCGCTCTGCCGTAGAGCTACCACGGCGTCATGGTTCGGGAAACGCTGCGCGGTCTGTTCAAGCAAGCCAAACAAGTGTCTGTCGGGCGGATGTTGTGAATCGTCTGCAGCCTCTGCCAAGGGAATTCCCGCCATGATGAGGCAAGTACCGAGAGTTTCGATGAGTTTTCGCGATTATGAATTACCGAGAGGAAATGAAAACTAGAGCGTCAATTGAGTCCATTGCTCAGGTTTTAAATCCCCTACCGAGCACAACCCGGCTCCATCAGGTCAGTCGACAACACCATAATTGCCAATAATCCGCACATCCATACTACCGGTTCCTGGATGTCCCCCTCTCCATTCCACAATCATCGACCCCATAAAATACAAAGCTTTGTTTGGTTGGAACTGGCTCGTATCGCTGCCATGCGTCCCACTACACCCATAGTTGGAACCAGTAGTTTAGGGTTCCGCTGCGGCGATCCGTGCCGATCGGGGTCGATTCCGCCTGCAGCCACAAGCGTCGAGAAATTCTTCGACGAAAAAGCTTCCTATAGCCTATGCAGGAGGGCACAAGACAGACCGGGTACTGGGGTGATGGTGCAGGCACTAATTCTGATAGTCACAGAATAGTCAATTGTGAGTGGGGTGATATCAAAACTGGAATTTCATTTCCATGGGCGGGGCGCACCACTGACTACCTGTTACAGTTCGTGCTCTCATCCACGTAGTGAACAACCACTACCTCCACGTGGGCTCACCTGCTGGGCCAAGGTCCAGGGGCTAGCGGATCAAGCCTATCAAGATGGTGGCTGTGATGCCGACCTCCGACCATGGTTCTACTCGCTGTGCCGTCGCGAAGATTACGATCGGAGGCTAGAGAGTTTGACATGACGTGCTCTGATTCCCGGGATTGGACCGATCGAGAAATCGCCTCGATTGCTTTTACACACTGGATTCCTGAATCTCTGATTGGGCTTGGTATATACGGGGAGCAGGATTCGATCGTACCCTCAGGGGAGTTCCTCCGCGACTCGTGGGAGACCAATCGCCCGCTGAGGTGCCCTCATACCTTGCGACCAATCGCATCAAATAACAGGGGCGAGTGGCAAGATTCTGATATGGCAAATAAGGGATGAAACCTGTATCGATAGTTCCTTCGGTGGTGGAACAACACATGATGCCCAATCGAGGAGCTCTTCCACATGCGATTTTCAGGGACGATCGTCATGGGCAAACCTAAAGACCAAGAGGGATGGATCTTTGGCTGCTCAGCTGCGAGGAAATACATATATAGCCGACTCGTTCTTCAAAAAGGTGGTCTGTGGGATATCCAGCATTCGATTTCCCCCGCTTGAGATAGTGCTTGTTGCGAGTCTGGCGCTGTCAATATGTATCTCGACACACCTTTGCAGACGCCGCGCAAAGCGAAGATCTTGATGCTTCACGGTGAGTCTCTCATCTACTCGGAATCGTGCAAGTTCGTGGACGTGAACTGAGCAACAGCAGGCACAGGACAATCCGCCCACACCTTCCAGAGCAAGATGCGGTATCTCCACGAGCCCATCGCGCGAGCCCTCTCCGCCACCTCCATGCAGCATGAGAGCCTCTATCCCGGGGGCGTGGAGTTCTTCTATCTGGACGGCCCGATCCCTGCCTCCTCGATCGACGCCTGCGACGAAACCTACATGAAGCCCAACCGACTGCCCGACAGCTGGCTCTGGGGCTACGGCGACCCCGAGACCTCCGAGCTCAAGGGCCTCGAGCACACCTGGAAGCGGCTGGCGAATGTCCTGACGGAACACGGGCCGTTCGTCGGCGTCATCGGCTTCTCCGCCGGGGCCGCGTGGTCCGTCATCCTGACTGCCTTGCTGGAGCAGAACAGGAAGAACCCTTACTTCCAAGTGCGCTCGCCCCCTCTTCCTGGCCATCTGGCATCTAGCTCTGACGGAGATTAGGTTAACCACCCACCCATGCACTTCTGCATCGCCTTCTCGGCCTTCATGTTCGAGCACCGCACGTACGAGTGGATCTACGCGCGGCGGATCCAGACACCCGTGCTGCACTTCATCGCCGCCCTCGACACCTGGGTCTCGGAGCGTCAGTCGCTGAAGCTGGTCGGGCGGTGCGCCAACGCGCAGGTGGAGTACTTCCAGGGGTCGCACTACATCCCCCGCGGACCGCGGATCAGGGAACTGGTGACCAGGTTTATTCGGAGGACGGGCGGTGGGGTGGGCGAGGTGGACGGGGGCTGCATTGGCGTATAGCCCTCGTGCTTAATGGTGGGTGCATCAGTGGCAGTGGGTACTGTACATATCTTTCCCATGACTCGCGGGGGAATTGGGTCTCAATTCGGCGTTCGGTTTCTAGCTTGGCGTTCGCATTACCCTGCTGGCGTTCTCGATCTGGCAATTTCATGTGGCTCACAGTTCAGCGAATCAAATTGACTAGGACATCCAAGCCTCGAGTCGGGGATCTTTGAACAGGGGATGGCAGGAGATTGTAATCACCACGCGCATGACGCGCTTTCCGCTGGAGCTGTGCAGGTCAGATCTACCTGCCGGACTTCCGATCCACTCCGGAAGCTTTCAATAACCAGGAACCACGAGGTTAGCTCTCTAATTAACTCTGTGGGAGCCTATTAGTGGATCCGCTGGGGAATCGTAGCAGAAGAACGCAGGGAATCTGCGCTTCAGACCATCCACAAGCACTAATTCCGGCTGATCCACGATTGCGAAACACGGTCCCCACGACTCACAGCTAGACCAAACCATAGTTCCTTCAAGGCAAAGCACAACCCCTTTGAGACATGTTGTTCCAAGGTTATGTGCTGTCGACCGGCTTTTGGCAGAGAGGCTAATTAGGGCAGGGATCGTCACACCCGGCGGGCGGTATCAGGCTTTGGTACCGGTGGGTCCGTTCTATCTACAGTCCGGAATGCCATGTGACGACTATAGAAAAGAGACTTGACGAGGTCATAAAAGAGATGTTGAGCATTTCATAGCTAGCTTGCAGCTGTGCATGAGCCCAAGGAAACACCGCAAGGGTATCTGCAGCAAGAAGAGAGCAGCGCTGCATGGGTAGAAACTCGCCGATCAGCGGGGCGAGCGATCCACTCCGCTCGCTGTGAGATCGACACTCCATGGCCGCCATCGAGATTACCATTGTCGGGGAGTCTCGGGAGATGACCGGGATGAATGGATGACGGAACGCGGTTGCGGGCCGATTCGTCGTGTAGATGGCCTGTTTACATGGTTTGGATGGTGCTCGCGGAGATAGGGGAGGCTACCGCATTGCATCACTTGTGGATTTCGTGTCTTCGGGGTCTTGTGCATGAGTAAGTTCAAGGAGCGCAGGATTGGATGAGGTCAATTTGAATATGCATGTGTGTTGGTGTCTTGCTACATGGTGGGATGCAAGCAGCTGATGGCCAAGGATGGACCATGAGACCAACGTAAAGGTTTATATTTTGCGCTCAGGCAACACATTTATGAAATCTACCAATCAAACTCATGCATATAAACGTGCAAACAACTAAGTCAGTCTACATAAGCCATGCATTATACAAGCAAAGAGACCTCTTTGGGGAGAATAATAGAAGTGAGACAATTCTTGCTGTGATAGAAGCATACAAGCGACGCGAACGTGAGCATGGAGGGAGGACAAGCATATCTACACGGTCATAAACTACAGAAAGATGCCAAGAATAACAACCAGCATCATTGGTCTAGTGGTAGAATTCATCGTTGCCATCGATGAGGCCCGTGTTCGATTCACGGATGATGCAAAGACTTTTTGATTTTTCAATCTTCTCCGTTATAAACATCAAACAAATCCAAAATACATACCCGTACTATAAATGAACAAGAGATGTTGCGGCGGATCTCAAAATATTTTTGTCGCAGCCTCAGTCAACACACCTTACTGTAAATTCCGGTCACTATTACCTCCACTTCCCACAACCCCAAACAAGCACAGCCAGTCTATACTCCCCACGCAACTCATCCAACCCCCCTTCTCCAACTGTAAGTCCCTTTCCGCTTCCCGCAAGGAAAAACCAGCTAACCCCCCTCCGCCCCCCGTACCATCTCCGCACTCGGCGCCCCAACCTCCACCTCCCCGAACTCCCTAGTATCCGGCAACTCCAACCTCGCCTCCCGCAGAACGGCGACCTCCAACCCCCTTCCCTCCCCCTCCCCCTCGCTATCCTCATCGTGGTCCACCGCGACCTCGAAATCCATCACATGTCCGCCATTCTCCCCGTCCTCGGACAAGAAATGCAGATGGAATCCGGGGACCCCGATCCCCACCGTATACGCGGGGGACCAGAAGCCGAACAGTGTCCCTCTCGAGCGGCCGTGGCTGGTCACTTTTTGTCGTCCGGCGCAGTCGGCGAGGGTTTCTTCCGGGGAGCTGCGCCGAGGGATGATGCGGGTGGTGAGCGAGGCGAAGGTCGTGGTCAGGCGGAGGGAGAGGAAGGTGTTTTTGTTGGTGTCGAGGAGCGGAGTGAGCAGGGCGGAGAGGGTTTTGAGGGTGATCTTCTCCGAGGTGGTGGTTGTTGGGAGTGGAAGGGTGTGCGTCGGTTGGAAGGTGGTGAGCATGGCGAAGGGGATGGTGTCGGTGGGGTTTAGGCGGCGCACGGTGGTAGTTGTGGTGGAGGGGAAGTGGTAGGCGCGTGAGTCCATGACAATAATCTCCCCGTCCAGCTCGGAGAAGGTGCCTATGCCGTATGTGCCTCGTTTGAGGAGGGTGGAGGCGTCGAGGCCCTCGGTGCAGATGCCGGAGAGGAGGGCGCTGATGGTGCTGTATTGGTACAGGGTGTTGATGTTGGCCATGGTGGTGAGTATGGGAGGGTGATGTGGATGTTTGGAATAGAAGTGTTGTGTGATGGTAGATGTGAGAGTTGGAATATGGCAGATGATATACACCATCCCTTAGCATGTGTGTATGATAAATAGGGTGAGTTGGTGCTCGTGCTGAATGACGATTAGGGCTACCGGGGTGGGTGATCTGCAGGTTCCGCTGTACCACCAGGAAATGCATGCCGCTCCGCATCGGGACTCTCCGTTCCCTGGAATGACCCCACGGATCTCCTACTTCCGAAGTCGCATTCCTATCTAGTATGATGATCCTCGAGTGGGTATTGGTTGTGTGGTTTTGGGGGTTGCTGCAGCTGGAGAAATTCCTCGATCCGGCCCCGCAATAGATCGGATGAAGCGACTCGACCGTGTCGGACTGGATCTTCAGCAGCTGATGGTCAATTTCAAGGGATCTCGCTCATGACCGATGTAATGTCACCCTACTTTTGCATATCTTTATCGTTGACGGTCCTTTATACTTGTCAGTGGATCCTGGGTGGCGAGTTGACCTGCCGAGTAGAACTTACCTCATTAGAGATACTTGTTTTCTTTGACTTTGGCAGGCTGAAGCCAGGATTTTGTAGACCTATCCGCCCAGACTCACCATGCTTCTGATGTAACGCCTCTCGGCTCTTCCAAGCCAGGAAGTAGTAAAGGGGCTACGTAGGCAGTGGCGGGGACCGACAACCTTAATGCCCGAGCCGAGTAAATTCTTCATGCCGTCATTCATCTTGTGTTAACGAACACACGACCACCGAGAATATTCGCCGAACGACACATTCTCACCCATCGAGCCTGCGGATATAAAGATGGTAGCAGGCTCGCTGGTCTATACGAAGCACCATGCAACCGAGACCAGCATTGGAGCCTCGCATTATGACTCGCAACGAAGAAACTCAGCTGACTGGCGGTGAGTATATCTGCGAAGAACTCGCCCGCCGTGGGGTCAAATACGCATGTAAGTACTATTCATTCCCCGTTCAGGTGGTGTTCCAAACGGAGGGATGACGTACTGATAAACAACGCAGTTGGCATCACCGGTGGTGCGGTCATGGACATCTTCGACCGCCTGCACTCCAATCCCCCCTTCAGCTTTATACTAGCCCACCACGAGCAAGGCGCCGGCCACATGGCCGAGGGATACGCCCGTGCCTCGGGAAAACCAGGCGTGGTGATGGTGACCTCCGGGCCGGGGACCTCCAACCTGGCCACCCCGCTCCTGGACGCGCTCCTCGACGGGGTGCCCTTGATTGCCATCTGCGGGCAGGTGCCGACTGTCGTGCAGGGCACGGATGCCTTCCAGGAAATCGATAGCCTGGGATTGGGAAAGATCTGCACGAAGTGGTGTGGGATGCCGCGGAGACCTGAAGAGCTACCGGAGTATCTGGCCCGAGCGTTCGAGGAAGCCACCAGCGGAAGACCGGGGCCCGTCCTGTTGGCTATTCCCAAGGATGTATCTGGTGCACGGTTCCGTCCCGAGCAGGTGCAGAATGGCGACAGGACTGATGACAAGTGCTCTTCCTCCGTTCTTGAACAGCCAGAAGAAGGAACTCTAGACAAAGTCGCAAACTTGATTAACAAGGCCAGCAAGCCGGTCGTTATCGCAGGCCACGGGCTCCTTGGCTCCCACCGTGGACCGGAGCTGCTCAACCAACTCATAGATAGCATTGCCATGCCCGTGACGACCACCTTCCTAGGCCTAGGCGCCTTCGACGAACTCCAGCCCCTAGCACTAGGCATGCTGGGCACGTACGGCACCGTACCCGCCGACCTAGCGGTGCAGAACGCCGATATGGTCCTCGTGCTTGGGGCGCGCCTCGACGAGCGGGCCGTCGGGAACGCCGACGGGTTTGCGCCTGCTGCGCGGGATGCCGCAACCAAGGGAACAGGCGGGATCGTGCATTTTGATATCTGTCCCGAGCAGATCGGCAAGGTTGTGCGTCCTACTGTCTCTGTGGTGGGAGATTTGAGGACGACGTTGCCTTCACTCCTGGAGAAGGTTACGCCGGTGGAGGCAGAGGTGAGAAGTAAGTGGTTAGCCACGGTGCAGGACTGGAAGCAGCGTTTTCCGCTGGAGTATCAGCCTCTTACGCCTGGGAAGAAGCAGGGGCTGCTGCCGCAGGAGGTGATGATGCAGTTGGAAGCATGCACCCGCCACCGGAAGGAGGAGATCCTGCTCACGACCGGAGTCGGGCAGCATCAGATGTGGACGGCGCGATACTTTCGTTCTCGCGTGCCCCGAGCGGTGATCGGTTCGGGGGGTCTCGGCACGATGGGATTCGGCTTGCCAGCTGCCGTTGGGGTGAAGCTGGCGCGGCCGGAGTGTACGGTGGTCGACGTGGACGGGGATGCGTCCTTTTGTATGACCCCGCAGGGGATCCTGACGGCGGTGCAGCATGGGGTGGAGGTGAAGGTGTTGCTGCTCCGGAATGAGGAGCAGGGAATGGTGCAGGAGGTGCAGCAAGCGGCGCATGATGATCGCATCACCCTGGCCGATCATCGCAATCCGGATTTCGTGCGGCTGGCGGAGAGTATGGGGGCAAAGGCGAGACGTTGTGAGTGTCGTCAGGAGTTGAGGGATGGGATGGACTGGTTGCTGGGGGAGAAGGGTGTGGCGCTGTTGGAGGTGGTGGTGCAGGGGAGGTTACCCATGGTGCCCAAGGTCGCAGGCGGGAAGGCGTTGGATGGAATCCTAGATGGGTTGGAGAAGAAGGAGGATGGGAATTAGTTGGAAGATGAATAGCTCCTCACCTGTTTGATGATATTTACGTGGTTTTGTGGTTATTCTTAGGGCTATGCTCCGCTTCTACCCTCCCTGGCCAACCAAATGCAACCCAGTAAAATACCTTAGATATTGCTAGAAAACCACCATTGCCAGATGGTATATTTTGCTTAAGGAGCCTCAATTAGGAACATGCTCTTTATACGTATATCTAGTAATCGAAGCCAGGGTTTTGATGTTTGGACCTTTAGTCACACAGTAACTCGTAAAAAGCTGCACACTACTTTAGCTGGCTAGGCAGGGTAAATATTCATCTACCCGCTTTGCCAGCTACAGTTAGTGACTGTCACAATACAAGGAGATATTCTTCTAAGTCTGAAATTCCGAGCCCACTGCTTACTGTGACTGTGGAATTTCTAGTGGGTATAGGCTCTTTCACCAAGTTATACACAGTAGGCAATGTGGCCAGGAAGGTCCACATTTTCTACATAAGCACGCTATACCTACATAAGAATACCTAGTAAGCAGCAGTGCAGTCCTGCATAACCCCCTTTCCCTCCCAAACAAAACACGCTCAAACACAAAACAAAAGTGGAGCCAAACTCCACCCCGCGCCCGACCGACACTCCGCCACCTGAAACCGAGCTGACTTGGCTGTTGTGCACTCTGTATGTTGTCGCGAATCTAACCAACACCTGTCAATCGACATTTGTTCTTCTCAGTGTTGGTGAGGAGAGATTGACCTGAAAGCTACCCACGGCCATGTGACTGAGCCAAGCACCAAGGCAAATAACTAGCTGGCTTACTAAATGATGACTACAACCTCGTGACCACGTGTTATGTAATGTTTCCCCAACACGTCTTGTACAGCAACACCCTGAACAACAACAATCATTTCCAACTCCCTTCTTCATTTGTTCATCCCACCAAGCATCTTGCTATTTCCAATATAGTCAGATCATAGTACTCAAATCTATGATGCCGATATTATGATTCGCAAATTCACGTCTCGTTTAACTCGGCAAGGGATGCCTTGGCCTTAACCCCGAGTTTTTCCGATATACGAGAGGCCGATTTATTTCAAATGAAGCTCATGAGATGGCTATCCGAGATGTCCATTTTAACATGAATGAATTGGCCAAGCGTGCGGCCGAGTCCGTTGGCTCGACGCTCACCGAATGCGCCCGGGTCGAAGAGTTCCCCGACGGGATGTTCAACAAGGCGTTTCTGTTCACGATGCAAGATGGTACGCAAGTGGTGGGGAAGATTCCCACCCCTAACGCGGGGCGGGCTCATTATACCACCGCCAGTGAAGTGGCCACCATGGATTTTGTCCGAAATCATCTAGGGACCCCGGTACCCAGAGTGTTAGATTGGAGCTCCAAAGCAAACGAGAATCCCGTGGGCGCGAAATACATCTTAATGGAGATGGTTACAGGCGTCTAACGTAAGAAGATCTGGCCCATTTTAGACATTGAGGGACAAATATCATGGAAAGCAGGCGTCAAACCGCAAGAGAACCAGCTCTTGCACTTGCAGCTGAAAACCCCTGCATTATTTGAAACGGAACTGACAGGGTATCTCATACATTCATAATCCAACTTCATCCCTCAGGCTCCTTGCTGTTTACAGACCTCCCCCCCCTTGCGACAGTATATACACATCCCAAAACTACCATTCCACCCGATCATCATGCACCAACTCGACATCCCACCTCTCCTCCCCGCGCCACACCTTCCCCGGTCGATTAACCGCTGCCACCGCCCCGCGCAGCGTGGTGATGATCCCTGCAGGTCCACTGGCCAACACTCGCGTCGGACCGTCCACCACGCGATCCAGGAACCGCGTCACCTGGGCCGTGAGCTCTGGATGCGTGCTCGCCTGCGCATCGGACTTTTTAGGCAGTGTGTAATGCACCGCGAATCCCGGTTCCGGTTCGGGGTCTGGGTCTGGCAAGGTTGACCCACAGCACGGTGTCTTCTCGTCTGTTTCTGTCTCTGTCTCGCTGCTGTGCACGTTTTCTGGCACATCCCGCGTAACGAAGATGCGCACGCGGAAGGAATCCGGCGACGTCTGCGCCACGCGTTGCAGGATGTCCAGCTCCGGGGCAATCCATTGTGTGTCCGCTCTGCGGCGGATGAACCAGATGAGTTCGATTTGTTGGTCGGAGGGGAGGGGGGCCGAGAGGCGCTGCAGGATCGGCGGCAGGACGAAGGTGATCCCTGTGCCGCCGGCGATGCAGAGCAGATTGCTGGTGCTGCGGGGGAGGCCGTCTAGAGAGGGGTCCTCGATGGACTGCCCGTACGGTCCGCTGAGGAGTACCGGGGTCGTCGGGCCCGGACTTGTCATCGTGCTGGTTTCCCCTGCTGGAGCTGTGGGTTGTAGGCGTGCGGATTCGGCGAGAACGCGCGTCAGCCCTTTCCTCGCGCGGATGAGATAGGTGTGTTGCTGGCCGGTCGGTAGTGTGTCTGGCACGCTGCAGGGGGTGAGCGGGTGCGCTTGCCAGAGGCTTAGCTGCGGAAAGCACAGAAAGAAGTGCTGGCCGATGTGCCAGGGGTCGTGGTTGTGGTGGAAGTCCAGCCGGATGATGTCGCCGTCGGCGGGGTTGGCGTGCAGCTGCATCGCCGCGTGGGGGATGTGCAGCCCCCAGCTGGAGGCGGTTGAGGGCACGCCCAGGTGGTGCAATAGAAATGTTCGGATGAGCCGCGCCCCCCGGTCCAGCAGCCAGACGACCAGCGAGGCCAGCATCCAGCAGTAGAGGTGCGCCCAGTGCGCCCAGCACGCCCCCACGTACACCATCGCCACGACGTAGTGCGCCTTGCGGAAGAACTCGTACCCCGTGAGTCGAATCACGGGTTTCGTGCTGTGCAGCACCAGAAAGGTCAGCAGGATCATCGCCGCGATCCCCCAGATGATGTAGGGCTGCGCGATGAAGCTGTTCCACTGGCTGGGCTGCGGCTGGTACAGACGGCCCTCCACCACGGTCCAGCCGATGGTGTGCAGGGCCGACTGGGCGTAGATCACGTAGCCCAGCCAGCGGTGCAAGAAGTTGAAGTGGTGGTACGGGATGCCGGTGATGAGAGAGAGGAGGGACTCCCGGCTGGAGAGCAGGATGGAGAGCGGGGTGAGGGCAAACGCCAGCACGCCCACGCGGTCCGCCCAGGGACCCAGCCCGCTGCGGATGTTGGACTGCGTACTGCCGCTGATGGGCGTCGTCCACGTCTTGTAGGTGATGCCCACCAGGGTGAAGACCAGCAGGTAGCCCGAGAGCACGAGGAAGACGAGCACCTGCAGCCGCGTGGTATGGCCGAATACCCGGGGAAGGGCTTCCGGGAGCAGATGGCGGCGAGTCAGGGCTTGCAGCGTCCTCGAGAGACGGTATAGTGCGCTCTGCGTGTGCGTTGCCCCCGGGGTGGTCTTGGGGGATGAGGGCATTCGCTCAATGCGGATCAACCGTCCGCCCATCGCCCACAGAAACAAGATCCCCACGATCACGGCCCATAGGATGAAGCTGTACAGCATGGTGACGTCGTGGCCGTGGTAGACGGCGTCCAGATAGGCACAGGTGCCGGCATCCTTGGTGCAGGGGATCTGGCGGGCGACATAGCCCCAATGCTCCTCGAGGGCGGAATCCTGGGAGAAATCCTGAATATGGCCCATGAGATCGACTGGGTACGCAGTACGGAGTACCTGATGGATGAACCGCGGACCCATGTGCAGGGAAATCTGGAGTCTTTTAACCCATCAATCCGCCGTCGAGGTGGAGCCTGCCAAGACCGAAATCTGCTCACTGCCAAGCATCCTGCGTGATAATCTGCTCATTTCTCGCCTCCATATAAGGCCCGGCCGGTGCCTGTTCAGGGTGAGGTTATTCCACCCACCGTTGACCACCGTGTACTGTGTGCTGTACGCCCAAATTTATACCACCATGGACATGCACATGTCAAGTTCCTCCAATTCGAGCGCCTGCTCGGTGACGGTATGCCCACCCTATCCCTGGCTATGAATTATGCATGTATGCATGCATCATCGACATAATGACTAATCCGCATAAAGATGCTCTGGAACTGGACCACCATCGATGCCTGTACGTTCCCCTCAGTCGCAACCTCCCCGACTCCCCCACAACAACCACAACCCTAACCCCCTCAAATAGGCTTCCTCTCCTCAACCTGGCACATCACCACCGCCGGCCAATTCGCCGTCTCCTGCATCGGCGTGGCCTTCCTGGTCGTCGTCCTCGACGTCCTGCGCCTGCTGAGCAAACAATACGAGGAGCACCTCCAGCGCCAGTTCCAGCGACACGTCGCGGCGCAGTCCCCCGCCGAGCGCACGCAGTTCTTCTGCGGCGATACGCTGGCCGACGGCCCGGTGGTGGTCACCTTCCGGGCTAGTCCGGTGCAGCAGCTCATCCGCGCGCTGCTGCAGACGCTGCAATTCGGGCTGGCGTATCTCATCATGCTGAACGCCATGTCGTATAACGGGTACATGATCATTTCCATCTTTCTGGGGGCGTTCGTGGGCAAGGTGCTCTGTGATCGCGGCGAGTATCGCGTGGTGCTGCCGGCGAGGGGGAAGGTGGCCGCGGAGGCTGCGCCGGTGGTGCCGGACAAGCCAGAGGAGTGGACGACGGGGTGCTGTGGTTAGATGCCGCTTAGAATTGTGTCTCGTCTCGAATTAGATTTGTCAATAATGATGCTGATGATTAATGGTGTCCGGTTGTAAGGGTAATATAGTCACGTGACTGATAATTGTGCCTGACAGGTGTTACTGCCTGAATGCCTGAATGCCTAAGTAGCTCAAATGCGCTCAATTCCCCGCGCCAAGAGGCTTGGGCAGGTGGAGTGGACATCATATGTTCTATTTATGGAGTATCTGCCACCCAGGGAATAAGGGAAGGAACTAGTATACATCTAATCCTGCTCCTTGGCCAACTCCTCCCGCACGCGAGGCAGGATATACCGGCCGTAGTCCACGGCATCATTGTAGTTGTCATACCCGCGGATGGAGATCAGCTCCGCGCCCAGCTTGACATAGTCCAGCAGGGAGTCGACAATGGTCTGGTGCGAGCCCACCAGCGCGGTGGAGGCGCCGCGCGCATTCGTGGCCGTGACGGTGGGATACCACAGCGCGCGGTCCTGGACGTCCCCCCGCTTGGCGATCTCCAGCAACCGCTGCGAGCCCGCGTTCTGCGGCGGCGGCGCATCGGCGGCCACGCGGCCGAAGCCGTTCTGGCGGTGCGAGGTCAACAGATCCAGCGTCCGGTGCGCCTTGGCCCAGGCCAGCTCGTCCGTCTCCGCCGTGATGGGCCGGAAGGTCACCCAGATCCGCGGGCGGTCCGTCTCCGCGCGGCCGGCCTTGTCTGCCTCGGCGTAGATGCGATCGATCTGCTCCTTCGTCTCCTTCAGCGGTTCTCCCCACAATCCAAAGATATCGGCCAGGCTGCCTCCGATGCGGTAGGCCTCGTCGGACGAGCCGCCCACCGACACCGGAATCGTGCCGTTCACGGGCCGCACCCGGTTGCTGAACCCCTTGAACGTGTAGTAGGGGCTTTCCCAGTCGAAGGGCTCGTCCGACTCCCACGCCCGTCGCAGGATGCGGATGTAATCCTCCAGACGGCCGTAGCGTTGCTCTTTGCTCAAGAAGTCGCCCTCCCGCGCTTGATCGGCGTCGCTGCCGCCAGCGATGAGATGCACCACCGCCCGGCCTCGGCTGAGTTGGTCCAGCGTCGCCAGCGCTTTGGCGGCGACGGTGGGGTACAGGGTGTTGGGACGGAGAGCAATGATGATTTTGAGGTTCTTGGTTACTGCTGCGATGGTTGCGCCCGTCGTGAAGGGGTCGAAGTACGAGGAGTCGTAGGGGACCAGCGTGTAGTTGAACCCGTAGTCGTCCAGCGATCGGGCGTACCGCACGAGGAAGTCGGGGTCAATTGGGGCATTGGGGATGGGTTTCAGCTCCGTAGAGGGATTGGGGAAAGTGAGACTGATGAATTCGGTGGGCATGGTGCTGGTTGATCGTGGGTCGGTTGGAGTTAGGGCTGCGTGATGGAGGTGTTCTGTCGTCGCCCGCCGGCTGGCTTTATAGCCGCCCTCCGAACATCGGATGCCGGCACTTGCTATGGCACCAACTGCAGGTTGGATGGCGTTGGCCGTGGGTTGATCCGATAGCTCTGGCCTGAGCGTATCATGAGGGTTGATGGTGGGTTCCTGGCTGCATGGCGTCAAACCCCCCGCAATCACGTCATCCATGCTGCGTCGTGCTGACAAACTGGGGTGGGAGGGAGATAAGAGCATTGTAGGTGCAGTGACGATTGGTCTGGATGGATTACTCAACAGACTGGGATGTGAAGATGGAGGAGATGAGGGGCGATGCGTGGTTCATTCAATGGGGGAAGGAAGGGTTGACACCGATCTTACCCTACCAGCCCCTGCCGCTGCTTCTACATAATTCACCATAATAATGCACACTTTCGCCCTGCACGCAGCTTACTGGAAAGTCCTTCTACAATTTATACTACCTTTCATCCGAGTCAAGACCAATTCCATCAACTCACCAACATGCAAGTCCGTCCCCACAGCGCCTGATGGGGCCGGAACGGCAGGACCCTCACCCAGGGACTGAGATAGATTCGGAAAGCCCCATCGAAAGCCTGGAGCAGCTTTGCGACCGTGGATCGTGGCAGCTACTAGTGAACGAGGATGAGGCTGACAGAGAATCTTCGTGTGCTATGTAGTACAATAGAATCTTTTGATTCAGGCAGCACCAATGCTTTCATGCTATTACACCCGCTCTTCCACCTCTGCCTTCCTCAGCAGCTCTTCCACAGTAGTGAAATGCATACCGGCAAAGAACTCCTCTCGTTGCCGCAGGGTCTTCTCCTTAGGACAGGCAGTAGCACCGCTGATTGTCCATTCCTCTGCCTCAGCAATAGCCAGCTCCAGACTCTCCGCCTGGTCCTCGTACTGCTGGATCGTGGTTTCGATGTCCTCCTTCGATCGGTAATCTCGTTCGAAGGGTCGACCTACCGTCTATTAGCCACACCTCTTCCTACCTCTAATTTGCCGCGAAGAGAAATGTCATGGAATATATACCTAGGCAGAGATTGAAGTCGAGAGAGTGTAACGTACCATAGAATCTCTCCAACAGCGAAGCCATCTGATTGAACGTCCCCCACTCCCCGACCACGTACGTGACCGGCTCCTAGATAAGGACAACGTCAGCCCTAACTCTCATCCCTCACGCTCCTCCATCAACCCCCCTTCACACTAGAATAACCCTCCACAACAACCAACAAAGATGGAAGAAAAGAGAAAGAAAGCAACTCACCCAACTCCCCCTCTCAGTGACCAGCAACTTCCCCACCGCGCACGCTATATCACGCGCACACGTCCAGCTCTGTCCCTCCTCTCCCGTCCCGCGGACGGTATACCTCCACGCGACGGGATCAATCGGAAACTCCCCGGGCATGCACCTTCGGTGGGACTGGTGGGCGGGGAGGGAGTATTCCATGCACCAGCCGTGATTCAACAGTGTATACTCTATTTTCTGCACGGGGTGGGATAGGGCATCAGATGTCTGGGCGTCTGCCTGCTGGGCAAGAATCGCCCGGAATGGAAGACGAGTCCGGCCGTATGCTCGTGGGAGGGTGGGGAAGGACTCGATGTCCCCGGCCCATTCGGAGGGGATGAAGCGGGTGCAGGTGTCGGTGAGCTGGCAGGCTTTGAGCAGGGTGGTGTGGAGGGGGAGGTAGTCCTCGTCTGGGCAGCGGAGGAGGGAGATTAGGGCTGTGGTGTGCGTGGTGCGGAGAATGTGTAGGAGGGAGGGGAGAGTGTAGTCTGTTGTTTGGGTGGTTACTCTGTTGGAGGTGGGGGTGGTAGGGTGGGTCTTTGTTGTTGTGTTGTTAGTCTTCTGGCTGACTGAGAGTGGATCGGTGTATCGTGGTGGGGAGATTGTGGAAAGGTGCAATGGCGTGAGGGGAGTGGGCGCTGGAAGACTTACCTGCCGCGTGAGGATCACGACGCTGTAGTGGGGATCCCTGATGAGCTCTTCTTGGAGGTAGTGGCCCAGGTCGCCGCTGCCGCCGGCTAGGGCTATCACCTGGGGATCGTTCATTGCCGTAGACATAAAATTTACTGAGAAGGGATATGTTGGGCTGGGATGATGGATGGTAGATCTGGTGAGATTTAGATTGGAAATGGAAACAGGCCAGCTGACATTTAAACTCGAGCTGCCGGCTGACATGTGCCCAAGCAGATTGAGAATCGATCTAGAACGTATGTACACCTGCGAACACGTCAACATCTACAGGTGGTGCATGTATGCTAACCCTACAGTAGCATAGGTATGCAGCCACCTTCCCAATGCCGAGCCCTCGGCGACTGCATACTCCAGTTCATTCCTCTCGGCCAACCGTCTCTGACAATCACCTCACATTACTTTTTATCACCCACTCGGTATCCATTTCAAGCATCGTTACTTCAATCTATGGCGAGAAAGGTGGCCCCGCCCATCACAAAACACAACACAGCTGCCACAATTGAACCAGTGTCAGTCCGTACTCAAACCAGCCCAGCCCGTCCAGAGTCCCGAAAACATACCTAGAACCAAGTTCATCTGGTAATATCCCATCTTCTCCGTCAAAGTCCCCGAGACCAGCGGCCCCACAAACATCCCCAGCTTCCAGCTGATATTGGACATGGAGAACGACCGCGAGTACCCGCCGTGCGGCCCGAAGATGCCCGGATACTCATGCGAAAGCTCGTTGGCGCCGTCTACACACCTCCAGGATTAGCCCGAGGTTCAGTTTAGTGGGACAAACGACCCTCGGAAACTTACGCAACACCTCGACAGCCCCGAACCCCAATAGTAGAGTCCGCCAGACTCCGATCGCCAGTAGCGTGGCGATGTAGATCACCCGGTTAGTGTCCTCGTCGTCCGTCCACCAAACGTCCTGCGCGTGGCCCGGAACCCCGAGCAACCACAGCGATGGCGCGAGACACAGGAACCCGATCGTTACGGGGTACCGCATCCCAATCCGGTCTTTTAGCCATCCCGCCGGGATGACGAGGATCATCGATGGGGCCTGCAGAAGCAGGAATAGTAGCCCCGCTTGGAGAGACTCCCAGTGGAAGACGGCCTTGATGTGGATCGGGATCGTGGTCTCGAAGCTGGCGATGATGATCGCGAAGAGGATGTCTGCTATTAGTGCTGTGGCTACCCTTTTCTTGCGGAGCATGAGGGTATAGACGTTCTAGGTGGGGAGGGAGGTGGGTTCTTCGATTGTATGGTACTCTGTGCTCTCGGAGTGAGATGCAGAGGAGAGTAACTGGTTTCGGATCTGCGATTCTTCCTGGGAGGAGTCCTCAACGTGCATGTCGTAGTTGAAAGTCCCAACAATCAGAAGCTGTAGGACAGTCCCCACGAGTATCACGGTGAATGCACTCGCCCAGGTCATCGAGTAGGACACGAACTGGTAGAGAGACCCCGACACAGCCGGGCCACTGAGTAACCCCGCAGACACGAACAGCATGGCCAAGCCCAGGGCTTTGGCCAGGTGTTTGGCGCCCACTGTATCCCCCAGAATGGCCATGCCGACGATCCAGATCACTGACCCGGCCAGGGTTTGGATGAGTCGGCCGATGAAGAGGACGGCTACTGTCGTGCTCCATGCTGTGATGGCGGTACCGACTGCGTTGGTCACCCATGAGATCACCATCCATTGGTTCTTCGACTTGGAGCCATCCGCTAAATGGCCGGTGAACGGGGCGATGAGAATCGAGACCAGTGCGTTTAAGGACAGAAGGATAGAAGTAAGAAGCTGCGTGTGCGAGGGAGGTTTTTGAAGTCTGTCTTGCAGGATGTCGGGTAGGATGGGGATGATGAAGCTGAAAAGGAAAGTGTCTGTTGATTCGATTAGAGGGCGCGAGGAGAGATGAAGGGCTGCTTACCAGCGAACATGGCGAGAGAGATGACTGCCACGATGAACAGGCGCGAGGATCGCCACCTGTAGCCGATGGGCTTCGCCGGGATGATCTTCGAGGTCATGCCGACAGTCAATCAGGTCTATGATCGAGGGGCATTGATTCTCTAGTCTAATCGTGTGAGGAAAGATTCGAGCGACTACGAGTAGTTAAATTCCAGTCACGACACTCTCGAATATCATTCTAGTACCTTCCGACAGTCAGCTCAGCTACGACACCAGCAAGAACCCTCATTCCCCCACTAGTATACGAATCCGTACGCCCAAATCACTCAATCCTCTAATAGACCGGCCTATGGCGATGCAGAATCGATGGCTCTTATTGCGAAAGGCGATTGATTGGCCTCCGCCAGACAAAGAAAAAGCACAGACGGCCCTCGTGTCACGCCAAAGCAAGGCCCAAGGATGCACCCTCACTGTGCCATCAGCCCCCGCTCCGCGGCGGCAATCTGCAGTGCAACGAAGCGGGAATAAATGCGACACAGCGATAGGCTTCCGCCCATGAGCCACAGATGGGGATGTCCGCTCGGTCTCCAGATCTATTCGGGGATTCGGTCAGTCCGGGAATTTCTGGTCTGCGAGGTGATTTAAGGAGGGATGTGGGTGATGCTGCTGCCGCTGCTGCTGTACGCACCGTCTGTATCTCCCCCTCCTCGTCCAGATCCCATACGTCCTTGCATTGGTCGGCCACCTTAGGCCCTAGCGTGTGGGGTACCGAGTCGCGCATGTTGGCGTACCCCGTCGCCAGCACCACGATGTCCGCAGCCAGATAAGTGCCGTCGGCGAGGTGAAGACCCCCTTGGTCGAAAGAGGCAATACCGCCCGCACACGAATGCAGCTGGATCTTGCGGTCGATCAGCAGCTGGCTGCAGCCGAAGTCGATGTAGTATCCTCCGCCGCGGGAGACCAGCGAGCGTAACAGTCCGGCGCCGTCGAGGCCGAAATCTAGTTGGAAACCAATGGACCGGAGGCCCTCGAGAACGGCAGAATCAGCGGCGGAGATGCGCTTGGTGAGGTCGACGCAGAGGGCGAGGGTGACGGGCCAGGGCAGGCTTTCTGAGAGGATATCTTGCGTGTCGAGGGGAGGGCTGCGTGGCTGTTAGGGCTGCGGGTAGGAGAGTGAAAGGGGGCGTGAGAGGGCAACCTTACCGATTGTCATTGTCGATGCCATGGTTCTCTGGGATTAAAGGCAATCCATGTTCCTCGGTGAGGACATACGTCGGACCCCGCTGGAGCATCGTCACGACTGCTCCCTGTTGGTAGAAGTCCTGCGCAATGTCGTGGCCACTATTCCCGGTCCCGACTACCACCACCTTCTTGCCTTGCGGGGCCAATTCTCTGGCGTCGACGTGCTGACTCGCATGGTAGATCGTTCCTTTGAAGTCCCCCTGCCCTGGGAAGCTGGGAATCTTGGGTAAGCCCAGATGTCCTGCGCACCATGCGATGTGTCGTGGGCGTAGAATACGCTCGACTCCATCCCGCACGAGGCAGACGGTCCAGTTCCCCGCAGCCTCATCATACTCAGCCGACTTGACTGCAGTCTGTGTCCACACGTTCAGCTCCATGATCGTGGAGTAGGATTCCAGCCAGTCGGCCAGCTTATCTTTAGGAAGATACTTGGGCCAGGTCTTGGGGAAGGGCAAGTGGGCGAGATGGCATGTTTCGATATGGTCGTGGGTGATGAGGGTCTGCAGTCCTATTAGCCCGTTCCAGTTCATTGCCTCTGGAGAAGAGAGGATGTCCAAACCCGATATCGCTTTCTCCAGTTATCTCCCACGCGCTCGTTCTTCTCCACGACGAGACACGATTGACCGAGGGTCTGCAGACGAACCGCTAGATTGAGTCCTGCCTGGCCTGAAAGGAAGGGTTCAGCATGCAATTCACATCAAGAACTAAAGGGATTCTGACCGGCACCGACGATCAACACCGTGGGATCAGTGTCTACAAACTCCTTGTCGCGCTCCCTTCTCTCCAACCAGTTCCCCTGCGCAACTCCACCCGGCATCGACTCGATCGTGCCGTGTGGCCGTCGCAGCCCTACCTTCTCTTCCGCTTCGTGCAGCTCCTGCAACGCAGTATACACGGAGTAGGCTTTCCACCCTCCCTCCTCGGTCGGACTCAGGTAGAACACCCCGCGTCCGTGACCGAAGCGAGTCTCGAAGCCGAACATCGCCGTTATCCATGTCAGTCCGGGAGACGGGGTGTCGATGGCAGGTTTTATTTTTTCCTCATCGTGAACACGCGCATTCTGCAGTTGCACACGGGGAAGGTGCTGCGCGAGGTAGCTTTGGATGTTGGGATAGCCTCGGATGGTGTGGAAATCCCAGTCCAGGGCGAGCATGTCGCGCCACCAGCTGTCTTCATGGAAGAGGCTGGAAAGAGGGATGGAGGTGCTGCCGGTCAGGTGGGCGTTTAGTTTGGCGAGCCATTCCTGGGCGATGGTGGTGGGGTCGATGCTGGATGGATTTACTTTGGGGGTGGTGGGGAGTTGGATGATGTGGTGGTGGGGGGGTGTCATGTTGACTTGGTCGCGTGAAGTGAGTTCTGTGGGTTGATACCTCGAGTTGTTTACATAGAGGTACAATCGACAGTCGGTACAGGTCCATTCCATCAAATATCTCCCGATATCAAGACTTGTTCCTAACCGCTACATCTGCCCCTGAACCCTTACATGAGTCCAACCTTGTTTGAGCTTCACATCGCATGTGTTGCTACAGTGGGTCGGTCCTGCAGTCTGCCGTGCAAATGTCAAGTGCCTTGTCTATCTGCTGCACCACGATTCTGAAGAATTGCATTTTGTAGGAGGTGTTTGTTGGCGGCAGGCATCCATCCCTGCATAGGGTTTCGAATTGGCGCGCCAGAGCCAGTCGATGCATCTAGCATCATCTTATGATGCAGGCAGGATTCAGGGGATCCTGGTCCCGAACACGTCAATACAATAGCCTTTGAAAAGTGTCTGATAACTGAAGTTTAATAAATGATTGTTGAGTTGGTGGCGTGCTGCACTTGTCCCACTGCTGTATTCACCCCTTTACTACACGCGTTGTGGACACCCCTCGATCCGTCATATCTTTACCACCCACTCCGATACAATTCCGTCAAGAAACGAGTCAGACCAAGGTGACCACATTGACTTCAAAGATCGAATATCCAAAATGCCAACCCCACCAAACTACAGCCTCGCCGCCCCCGCCAAGCGCCCGGAGATCCTCGCCCTGGCGCAGGACCTCAACGGCACTCCGTCGGGGGAAGAGTATGAGAAGATGATCTCGGGGATGATGTATGCCCTCCTCCTTGCCTATCCTCTATCCAGTCAAATAAAAGCTAACAGCAGTGAAAAAGGTACGACCCCACCGTCCCCGCCCTCCTGGAAGCCCGCCATCTCGCCCGCGGCCTGACCGCCGCCTACAACAGCCTCGACACCACGACCGTGCCCTTTGACAAGGTCGGAGAAGTGAGGCTAGACCTGCTACGCAAGTTGGTCGGCAAAGCAGGGGACAAGACCTTCGTCGAGCCGCCCTTCCGCCCGGATTACGGGTGCAATATCTCCTTTGGGAGGGAGGTGTTTGTGAATTTTGGGTAGGTTGCTGCTCTTTACTCTATTCTACCCCGTGGGTAAAGTTGTGCTGTATTGAAATGAAGGGTGGATATCCCCCGAATGAAGACGGCTTCAAAGGCTATACCTCCAGACTCACCGTCCTCGACACCAGCCTGGTCGTCATCGGGGATCGCGTCCAGATCGCCTCGAACGTCAGCATCATCGCCGCCAGTCACGACCCCAGTGTCCTCTCCCGACGGAGAGGGGTCGAGTTCGGTCATCCGGTTTTCATTGGGGATGATTGCTGGATCGGCGCGAATACGGTCATTCTTCCGGGTGTCACGATCGGGCAGGGTTCCACGATCGGAGCCGGGTCTGTAGTGACGAGGGACGTCCCTCCTTATTCGGTCGCGTTTGGAAGTCCTTGTCGGGTGCGGAGGGTGTTGGTCACGGCCGAGGAGGAGGAGATGGATGAGGAGAATCCTTATAGGGGGGTGTTTGTATAGAAAGAGAGGACATGCTGAGGTGGAATGTAGACAGTGAATGAACTCGAGAATTATTTGACAATCTACTACACAGGCAATGATAACTAAATAGAGGACACGTTCAAAACATCACCCCTCAGCCAGTGGGGACTGTATCGCACCACCAGAGACGTAGGCGAGGGACATTCCAGCAGCTGCGGAGCATCGGCTAGGGCTCTACGCAGATTCTCCGTCCCGAATTCGGGCATCCCCTGCTGCATCTCCCAAATACTGCGTCCTTCCCAGACCTTCTCCTCCAACAACGGCAGTAGGGATTGAAGCGGACTTTCGTGGGTCTGCGACAGGATCCCGACCCATTCGGAATAAGGCACAGCACGCAGGGGCGTCTTCCCGCGTACCTGGTTTAGCAGAGTGAAGATCGTCGAGAGCTCTACACTCGAACCGGTCGTCGGATGGACAACATTATACGCCTGGCAGGCATGCTCCGAGCTAGAGGCGATGTGCAACAGCGTCGACGCCACCCAGTCGACCGGGACAATATCCTCGCGATGACCTGGAAGCAGCGGATAGCAGCCGCATTGCAGGCTGGCAGCAATGACCCGCGTCAGGAAGTCGCCCGGGTTCATTGTGCCCGTCTCACTGTGCCCCAGCACGAACCCGAGCCGGTAGATAGTGATGGGTAGGCCTTGGGAGATCGCATTCCAGGCGATAGTCTCCGCAACCATCTGACTTTGCGCATAGCCCATAGCAAAAGGAAGCGCTGACAGGTGTGCGGCGGGCTGCTCCTCTTCCGCCAGATGCGTGTGGCCGTTCACCGCGCCCGTAGGTCCGTACGCGCTGATACTCGACGTGTAGTGCAGCGCCTTGGTGCGGCCGCTGTTCGCAAATCGGATCATGTGCAGCGTGCCCAGCACGTTTGCCGCATGGTGGCTTGAGTACGGTTGCACGAAGTTGACGTGCGCCCCGAGATGAAACACCACGCTCGCCCAGTGCGAGAGCCACGAATATTGCTGCGGGGTCAATCCCAGATCCTCCTGGGAGA